CATCAGTGAGCTAGAGAGGAATGTGGAGGAACTTAAGCGGAAGGCTGCCCAGAACTCTGGGGAGGCAGAATATATTGAAAAAGTAGTATATGCTGTCAAACAAAGTGCAGAAGATGTTAAGCAGGTAAGCAAATCTTTGTAACTTTTAAGAGCTATGTTGATAAAGGAGCAACCAGTCTCCTCCTTGCCTTCCTTAGAATCATGATAAGGGACATGGACCAAATAGGGATATTCATTCATTCATTCATCCCAAATAATCTCTCTTAAAATAAGATACAGATGGAAAGGGATGGGAGTGGATATAGAAGTGTCCAGTAAGTATGACCTAGACCCTCAAATCTAACTTGGATAAGAGTTTAGAAGGATGAAATTAATTTAACTTAGGAGTAGAAGTCTTAAAACAGGCATATTGAACTTTATTTCTGTACTGTATGTCAATTAGGAAGATCTTCATGGCATATAGTAATTACCTGGCCATTTGAGAATACTTGAAAAGCAGAGTGGAAAAAACTTAGTTCATTACAGAGAACAGGCAGTGGGAAACCAAATCTTACCTCTTTCAGACTCATTTTGAATTAACTACCTCTTGCTTCTCAATGGAAGGCACTATATTTTGCAGAGAAAATCTCGCACAACCCAAATTTTTAGCTAGAAGCCAGGTAATAATTTCAGCACATGTTCAATTTCTAAATATGTGTGGGCAAAACCTGGGGAGGGGGTTCCACTGCTAAATGACTTAATTTCTGTTTATAACTCTTTACTATTCAAAATTTTTCCTGGAAATTACTATAGCTTTTAGGCATTCTGTAGAGTAACTTCCCTACTCTTTGGGTTGGTGAAGAAAACAAAACAAAAGTTCACTGCCACAGTATCAGACAGCTGTCTTTTCTGTTGTAGTTTGTGTAATTTCCTGCAGTTCTGAGGGCACAAATCTCTCAAGTAGTCTGCTGTTGGGCATTCTGCGTAATGATGTTTTATTATAATCAGGAACAAAAATCCCTTACTTAAATTCTATAAAAGAATCATTTACAACTATCTTTCCAAACCCATACCCCCTTTCTTTTCTCCTCACCCACTTTTTGCATACACTACAACCTCTTTCCTAAATCTTTTGTTAAATATGCCTTTTCCCTCTGATTTCATCAGGAAATCAATTCTTCAGAAATCCAAAATCAGTCAAGATCCAGATGGTCCTCCATTTCTTCAACATGGGCCTTCCCTGATATCAGTCTGCTTTTAAAAGAAATCTACTTCACTTCTCTCTGTAATTCTCCATACAATTATGCTATAACTTTTATACAGAAGTGTTACTCAAAAAAGAATGAGGGCTTAGCCCTAGAAACTTGCTGCAACTCCAAAATATTTTTGAAATGTTCTTTAAAACCATGTCAATTTTGCATTCAGTTCTACTGTTTATTTCAAGATCATGTTTCAATTACTTATTGAATGACTTGAAGCCTACATATCCTTGGCCCTTAATCCAGAATGTGTGCCATGCAAGTTAGTATCTACGTGATCTGAGCTTGCCACGATTATAGTACTGCTCCTAAACACAATCACTGACACTAACATTACATTATCAACTCTTTCTGCCTAAATGTGGAACTGCAGACTCTGGATGGTGAACTTGATGAAAAGTACAAGAAAGTAGAAAATTTAATTGCCAAAAAAACAGAAGAGTCAGCTGATGCAAGGAGGAAAGCTGAAATACTACAAAATGAAGCAAAAACACTTCTGGCTCAAGCAAACAGCAAGCTACAACTGCTGAAAGGTGGGCTGGGTCTTTTCACTTAGGCTCATTTTTTTTTTTGTAAAGTTAAAGCATCCATAGAGTTTGAATCTATTCACTTTAAGTATTTAAAACAGCAGTACAGTAAAGATTAGGTTTTTGAGATCATCATAGTATAAATTTCTCACTTTTTATCTTCCACAGATTTAGAAAGAAAATATGAGGACAATCAAAAATATTTAGAAGACAAAGCTCAAGAATTAGTGAGATTGGAAGGAGAAGTCCGTTCACTCCTAAAGGATATAAGCCAGAAAGTTGCTGTTTATAGCACTTGCTTATAACAAAGGAGAAAGGGCTGTAAGATGGCTGAGGTGACCAAATAGCTACATTTTAAAAACTGACTTAATGATCTTCAAAGTAAAACTCATTACCTATTTAATGTTTTTAATCACAAAATTTTGTATGGAGTTAAATAAAGTACAGTGCTTTTATATAAATGTAATTCTTACATTCATTTTATATACTTTTACTGATTTGTGTTCATGAATCCCTTTAACAAACAATGTTATTTTCACTGTAAAGATGCATTTAAACAAGTTTACTGCCTCCATGAAGACCCTAATTTCAGTTATGTCTATACTCATCTATTTGATATCCTCTAAAAATCCACATCCCCCACTCCCCACCCCACCCCCAAACCACCTCCCAGTGGGGATTCCCAGGTTGAGGCTAAGGAAGAAGGATATATATCCTACACTACCTTCACTATTTCAATGGCTGCTTAGTTGCTCCAATCTCCAAAATTCCTTTAAGTATTCCTTGGTCTAGGAACAAGAACAAAAAGCAACACTTTAGAAAATCAGGAGGATGAATTGTGGTTTGTAAGTATTACCACCTAGACTAAGAGGACCAGGGTTGTTGAGGGGAAGGTTTCAATTAAATCAGGCCAGAGTTTATGGACACTGCTCCCACCAATTAAGCAATGCTACTAAAAAGCACAGAGTGATGCTGTAATGCTACAGTCCCCTCCCCACCCCACCCCCCAGCATGTTAGAGACTGGGCCACAGAGCTCTTACCCCACCCTAGTTTGTGGAAAAACTGTCTTCCAAGAAACTTGGGGGGGGGGGGGCGCAGCAGGGGGTGAGTGGCAGGCCAGTGAAGCTTCATCTGTATTTATAGCCACTCTACCTCCCTGCCTCTGCCCCCCGCCACCCCAGTCAATGGAAAAATTATAACCCGTCCCTGGATTGTTGCACATAACTAAAGATTCTCTGCTGTAATCTGTAGGTGAGGCAAAAACAACAGTGTAGCAGTCCATAGGGTAAAGAAAATTGCTGGAATGTAATTGCCAAGGCAGTGTCAACTTTAGCTGGATAAAATCCCAGCCCCTAAGTGTTTTTTTCACAATTCCTCTTAGAGCAAGACCATTCCATGGACTGCTTAACAACCACTCACACATCCAACAGCTGCATTTGAAGCTGGGCCTGGACAAAAGTTATGTAAGCAGCCATAATTTAAACAATAAGGCAACTTACCTCTGGTCCAAGGCAACTGTCACTTTTATTTAGGTTAAGAATCCAAACAGCTAGCAAAATGGTCATACCTCATCATCTACTGGAACAATTATAGTTTTTCTTTAGTAAGTATTTTACTTAATAGTAGAAACTGTATTCCTCATTCCTTTTCAGCTAAACAACTAAAGACATGACTTTGAAATTACTAATCAGCTCAATGAAATGGACAATTAACCCCACCCTTTACAAGTCAAGAAAATATTGAGAACTTAGTAGATAACTCTAAGTGAACATTTAAAACTTATTTGTAGGACTTTACTCTCCACCCAGATATATCTGCATTCTCATATTGAATGTAAACACTTAAAGTTGAATTTATTATTTTGTCTCTACGGCTAGGATTTCAAATTATACTTCACTATACCCTAATTAGGACCTTTTTATCTAAGAGTAGGGGACATGATTGAGGTTTAAATAAACTAGAATTTCACATGATATTGGGATTTCAGATTTTTAAAAAATGCAGAGCATTTCCAATGATGGTAAAGGAGTACATATCAGACCAACCCCTCCTGCTGATAACTCTGAACACAATACATTTTAAGAGAAAGCATACAGGCACTGGAGAGCAAAAACAGGCAGGGAGAAAATAGAGGGGAGCTGACCCTTAAAAAGAAAAGCACTGGCTGAATGTCCTGTTTTTAACAGATTTTTTACTTGACAGGATTATAAAAGCCAAGTTTTACTAGTTAAAGAATCAGAGGACAGAGTGTGGGGCAACCACAACAGCTGGAAGGTGAAAGGAAAATCCCCAAAAAAGGGAGGAACCCCCAAATTCTGCAGAAACTGCCCAGTCTCTGGCTGACCCCTCAACTACATATGCATGAGAAAGACTTCAGGCAGCACAGGTAAAGCTACAACTGAAAAGAGATTTCAGTTGCTGCCTCCTACAAAGAAGAAAGTTTGGAGTTGGTATTCAGCCAAGATAACCGCCTACTAAAACAAAAATTCAATTTTCTTCAGAACTATGTAGCAGAATCCAGAGTCTTTTCTATGCATCACTCATAATGACCATCATACAATCCATGCTATCTATACCAAATTTGAGAACTACTTAATGAATCTGAAATGATCCTTAAATTTAGTTATAATATGCAAAAGCCTATTTAGTACTTAGTAAATTTGTTACTTAAACCTTTAAAATGGCCGTTTCTTGAGACATTTATCAATAAACACAATTTTATAGCACTTGTTAAAGAAATAGTCATTTACCCAGCCAAAGAAATCCACATAGGAAAAGACAAATGATTAAAGACTTCCTTATGTGTATTTCTCCAAAAGTGTATGCTAAACATTTAGTAGGTATCTCAAAAACAGATGAAAGGGTTACTGACCTTTTAAATACCTTAATATTGTCATATAATGTGATAAAAAGATACATTGCCTATAAAAGCAATTAAAAATAAGAATACATACTAGAGGTAGTCATAAAAAAAACTATGACCATTCAACATGTACTCAACCAGTAAATGAATATTTAAGACATTTATTTCAATATCTTCATCCCTACTGTAATACATTTGAGTCTCCACTTAATATTTGAGTTTTATAGATAGACTCACTCCATTTGGGTTACTGCATAACTATCCTTCAGACCTGTAGACCTCAGCAGAACCTTAAAAACCTCTTAAACACAAATTCTATCCCTAAACTGCAAGAATTTAGGGGTTACATAAAAAGAGTGAGACCATTTTTATTTACATTACTTAAGTTTATACATATTTGAATCTTGTTGAAATGACTGACTTGTTTCCAATATGAAAACCAAATTAAAAATATCTTGATCACCTTATTTCAAACACAACTGTTCCCATACCATACTCCATCCATGCTCCAGCTCCATCCATGTAAAAGTAAATTCAACTTTTCTGTTATCATTGATAAAAGCTGCTTAACAAATTCAGTGATGTTGAACCTTTCATAAACAGCATGAAAATATGGGTTGATGAAGATTTTCCAGGATGCTACTATAAGTAGCTTTCTGTCCTGCGTATTAATACACTGGAAAAAAATATTAAGTTTATGTAAAATATAGATAGGAGACTATCCATTCTGTCCAAACCTATTAAATACCTTCCAAAAAAGATTCATATTTCAGTCCCAGGAATTCCTGGAGCTGTGAGCATATCCTGTTCAGAAATGTGACCTTTACAAGATAGCTCCCAGGAAATTTCAGAAAAAATATATATAGTCTTCTAATTTAAAAGTTGATTGGTTTGCCAAATGATGCAGCCAGGTTTGCTTCTCTAAATGCTTCTGATAAGGTCTGCAAAGGAATAAATTTAGAATTAAAAACCAATTAATTGTAGGTCAGAAGAAAATTTAGACAGCCATTAATTCTGTATGTTGTTAATAATTACCGGATGTGCATGACAGACTCTAGCTATATCTTCACAGGATGCTCCATATTCCAAAGCAAGAGCAGCTTCATTTACCATTTCTCCAGCACCCTTTAAAATAACAAGCCAAGAAGTAATTTTGCTTCCATGGCAAAAACACCACCACACTAATAGAGAATAGCAACAGTTAAAAGAGCAGGCCTTTTAGATCTTAAAATTGCCTTAAGTATTTGTTGTTATAGCAGTGGAGGAAAAGTCAAGAAAAAGTCTTCCAGTCAGGAAAAGCTTCACAGAAAAGGTAACACAGATGAGCCTGGGCTCTGGAGCCAGATGGCCTGGACTCTTATCTACCAATTACTACCTCAGCCACTCACTGGCTGTGTGCTTCATTCAGTTTCTTCACCTCAAAAATAATAGCAGCACTCAACTCACAAAGCTGTTATAAAAATATGGTTAATATATGTACTTAGGAAAAGTGACATGTAAGCACTCAAATATTTTACTCTCATTGTCACATCAGATACAAAAGATGTAGAGAGAGGATACACTTTAGGCTCAGTGGTAAAAAAGGCTTCCCTTAGGAGGTAAATGAGACCTGAACAATAAGGAGCCAGCCATTCAAAGACATGGAGGCAGAGCATTCTAAGCAAAGGGTACTACAAGCACAACAGCCTTAAAATGCAAACAAGTCTGTCCTCTTATGAAAATGAGAAGGCCCATATGGCATGGTATTAATAAGCAAAAGGGGAGAGCAGAAAGCAACGAGGTCAGAAAGGTAAGCAGGAAGATTCAGTGAAGCCTTGTATGTAACCATCTGAAGTTGAAAAACAACACTGGATGATCTGAAGACGACACATGGTCTGGTGTGTGTTTTAACACATTAACTGCCATGTGAGTTGTATTTATCTCAGGCTAGTTTTGAGCCTGGGGCCTCATGAAGCATATGTCACATGTCTCTTTACCTTAGCAGCCACATGAACCAATTTTCAAGTTGCATACAGCCCACACACAAAAAATAAAAAACAAATTTTTCATTAAATTAGAAAGGATTGTTTTATTTTCTAAGTTTTTATTTTCATAATAAAACACTGTGGCCCCAAGGAAAAAACTTTTTTTCTAGTGTGGCAGTCAATGTATTTAAGAGATAATTTTGGCTGCAGTATACAAAGTAGATGATATGGTGGGCAAGACTGAGAGTCTGCCTGCTAGAAACGATGCACAGAGAGGCCATATTCAAAATTTTGCTGGTAATTAGTAACCTCAGAATGAAAATAGCAGGTGGTTTAAAATTAATAAATAGTCATGTTTTCTAGAAATCTTAATGGAATTTCTCTGGTTTTACAATACTCACTGGTCCAAGAATATGTGCTCCTAGTACTCTGTCTGTTGATTTCTGCCCAAGAATCTTCACCATGCCATCTGTGTCAGCATTTGTCTTAGCTCTGCTGTTAGCAGCAAATGGGAATTTCCCAACTTTGTACTCAATTCCCTGTGGGAGAGAGAAAAAGAAAATCTGTATAAATGCTGAAAAAGTTCATTCTCACTGGTGAGATCATCTACCATTTGTTCAGAAAATAAATCCCAAGATGGCAATTGTTCACACAGCACATAGAAGGAAAGACCAAAAGGCTGGTTAATGAAATATATCTTGTATATAAATGCAAGCAAATACAAGTTTCTGTCCATCTGGTTGTATGTCAAAGCCAAATATAAAAGCTCTGGAATTATCAGTTTTTGAATATAGGCAACTTCTCCTCCTATTATTGCTGGTAAATCTAAGTGAATGATCTCTTTATGATGTTAACAAAGGAAAAAATATATAAACTGCAATGTTTTATAGTTGTTAAAATATATTAATGCAACGATAAAATGCTTTTTCTCAACCATCAGTGTCATTAGCTCAATTCACACACTGGAGTAAAGCCACCCACATTCAGGATTACCTCTTCTTTCAACTGCTCTTCTGATTTGCCAACCCAAGCAACTTCAGGGTGTGTGTAAATCACCGATGGCACACAATTATAGTCGATGTGCACAGCACCACCAGCCATTCCTTCAACACAGATAATGCCTTCATCCTCTGCTTTGTGAGCCAGCATTGGACCAGCAACCACATCACCAATGGCATAGATACTACCACAGAAATCAAAAGAAACACAGTGAACTTCTGAAATCGCATTTATCTTCAGTTACATCATGGTAACAAACGTGTAAGTAAGTGTCTAGTCAATAAGCCACCCAAAAATAAATCAAATGCAGCTCTTTGAAAATCTGTGAATTCCGCTTCTAATCTGAGTAATAAAAAATTCAATTATTTTTGACTTTTTTATCTTCTAAGTTTTCTATTCTTCCCCAAATCTAATACATTTTATAAGCAACAGTCTTATTTTTCAAAATACTTTTAAATAAATTTTAAAAGTATTAAAAATACAGATAATCATCCAACTTACTTTGGAATTTTAGTTTGGAATCTGGAATTGACTGGAATTCTACCTCTGGGATCTAGTTCAATTCCAAGCTCTTCTAGTCCCAAATTCTGAGTAAAGGGTCGTCGGCCAATGCAAACCAAGAGTACATCACAAGTGATAACTTCAGCTTTACCACCAGACGCAGCTTCAATACTAGACAATGAACAGTGTATAACTGTTAAACACAATCTATATAAACAGACAGCTGATGGACTTAGAAATTTAAGACAAGAGATTTCTCAAGTGTTGATGACATTTCTAACAACATAAGTTCATCATTTGATTATAAATATAAACGTAAGTGTCAGGCAATGAAATAATGTGCACATCCTCTAGAGGTCTATCATTAAAATCTCACAAAAACAGGCAGTATAAACACAGTGGCTAAGAACACGGGTCTGATAGTCACAAAAATCCAAGTTCAAGTACTGACTCTGCCACTCATTAGCTGTGTGATCTTAGGTAAGTTATTTCATTGAATAACGTAAGTATTTAATAAGTAACGTGCCAGACACATAGTAAGCAATCTAATTATTATTATCATTGATTTTCCACATACCTGTCTAAAAATATTGAATTAATTTTACTTAATGTTGGGAGTTTAAAATTTTCTGATTATATACTATGAAAAGATACAATAATGAGAACATCAGATTAATCATCTTAGCATCAACTTAATCAGAATTTCAACACACTAATGCAATAATTTGGTAAGCAATACTAAGTTATATTAAGTAGTAAAATGGTCTTAAGCTACAAAAAAAATCCTGTATTTGCTAATCTGATTTTGAAATGAGTTTTTTTCTTAAATACACAGACAAGGATGATATCATATCAAAAACAAATGTAGCATACTTACGAAACATCAATGTTTCCATCTGACTTCTTGGTAGCACCAGTAACCTTTGTATTCAACTTAAATTTAAACCCCTGTTTTTGAAGGATGCGTTGAAAGTTTTTAGATATCTCCATGTCAATTCCAACTCCACCTACATGACCCAAAAATTCAACTGCTGTCACATCTGCACCAAGTCTTTGCCAAACTGAACCCTGAAAATAACAATAATCAAAAAAATCCAATAATCATAAGTTTCTATAGCAAATGTTTAGTAAATCATCTAAAATAATTGTAAAATATTTTATTTTGCTAATATGTCTGTTAGAAGCTCTGAGGTTTAAAATTAACCCTGCAGTAAATATCTATAACTTCATATATTTATCAATTCATTCAACATTTATTGAGTTCCCACTACGTGTCAGGCAACATTTTAGCTACTAGGCATACATTAGTCAACAAAACAAAAATCTCCACCATTAGGGACCTTATAGTCTGGTAATGAAGATCGACAAGTAAAATTCATGTCAGAAGACAGTAAAGTGCTATGAGAAAAATAAAATGGGAAGTAGAACCATGACTACTACTGAAGGGAGAGGGATTGTAATTTTAAATAGTGCAGTTGGGCAAGGGCCTCACTGTCAGTGACAAAAGACTTCAAGGAGTGAGGGAATGAACTATATACAGTTAGCTGGGGGAAGAGTGCTCCAGGCAGAGGAGAACAGCAAGTGCAAAGGTCCTGAAGGGAAGGAATATAGGCTCTTATTGCTACTAATTACTGATGTTTGAAGAATAAATTGACTTCATATTGTATTTTCTCAACACAGGAGAAATGTTTATTTTTTCATTGAAATTGCAATTTAAACTGAATACTAGTTTAACAATATTTTAACAATTAGTATAACTTCTAAACAATTATATATGAAACTATACATAATAGGCAAGATTAACAATTTTATAGCACTTCGTAAAATATAAAAAACTATGAACATATCCTTTCCAAGAATTTATATTAAAATCATCTGGTAATTCAAATGAACTATAAAAGTTTACATTCCCAATTAAATTAGGTATATGTGTTCATTTTAAAAATTTCATGAATTTTTGGGATGAGGACTGAGTTAACTAGAAGCAATACAGTGATACTAAAAATCTAACTCTCTCTATATAGACATACATACACGTATATACAGACACATACACATGAAAGTTAACTCAGAATGGATCTGGACCTAAATCTGAACCTATAGAATTTTTAGAAGAAAATCTAGGAGAGAATCCTTTTGACCTTGAGTTAAGCAAAGATTTCTTAGACACAACACAAAAAGCATAATCCATTAAAAAAATAATAAATTAGACCATCAAAATTAAAAATTCTTAGAAATATAATAATATAATAACATGAAAACAAAAATCACAGACTGGGGAAAAAAAAATCTATAAAACATTTATCTGATAAAGGATTTATATTCAGAATATATAAAGTACTCTAACTCAACGATGAGAAAACCGAATAAAAAATGGACAAAATGTTTGAATAGACATTTCACCAAAGAAGATATAGAGATAACAAATAAGTACATAAAAAGATGCTCAATGTTGTAAGTCACTAGAGAAATGTAAATTAAAACCACAACAAACCCAATCCAATGACACATTAGAAAGATCAATTCACCATAATCCAGTGGGATTCATCCCAGAAATTCAAGGATGGTTCGACACACGCAAATCAATAAATGTGATATATCACATTAACAGGACCAAGAAAAAAAAAAAAATCACAGGATCATTTCAACAGATGCCGAAAAGCATTTGATAAAATTCAACAACCCTTTATGATAAGAACCCTCAAAAAATGGGATATAGAAGGAACATACCAAGATAATAAAGGTCATATATGACAAACTCACAGCCAACATCATACTGAACAGGGAACAACTGAAAGCCTTTCCTCTAAAATCTGGAATAAGACAAGAATGCTCACTTTCACCATTTTTATTCAACATAATACAGAAAGTCCTGGCCAGAGCAATTAGGCAAGAGAAAGAAAATCAAGGCCATCAAAATTGGAAAGGAAGAAGTCAAATTAGCCTTGTACACAGATGACATTATCTTGTATTTAGAAAAACCTAAAGACTCCACCAAAAAACTTCGAATTGATAAACAAATTCAGTAAGTTGCAGGATACAAAATCAACACAAAAAAATCAGTAGCATTTATATACTCTTAACAGTGAACACAATCTGAAAAAACAATCAAGGAAACAATCCCATTGACAGTAGCTACAAAGAATATAAAATATCTAGGAATCAATTTAACCAAAGATGTGAAAGATCTATACAAGGAAATCTATAAAAGACTGATAAAAGAAATTGAAGAGGACACAAATATTCCATGTTCATCAATTAGAAGAATATTGTTAAAATGACAATGCTACCCAAAGCAATTTATAGATTCAATGCAATACCTACCAAAAAGCCAATGTCATTCTTCATAGAAATAGAAAAAAAAAATCCTAAAATTTATATGGAACCACAAAAGATCCCAAATACTTGATTAGCCAAAGCAATCCTGAGCAAAAAGAACAAAACTGGAGGCATCACATTACCGGACTTCAAAATATACTACAAAGATACAGTCACCAAATCAATGTGATACTGGAATAAAAACAGACACATAGATCAATGGAACAGAACAGAAAGCCCAGATATAAACCCATACATTTTCAGGCAACTCATTTTTGAGAAATATACAATGAGTGAGAGGCAGTCTCTTCCATAAATGTTGGCTGGGAAAACTGTATAACCATACACAGAAGAATGAAACTAGACCCTTATCTTTCACCATATACAAAAATCAAATCAAAATGGATTAAAGCCTTAAATCTAAGCCATGAAACTACTAGAAGAAAACATTGGGAAATGCTCCAGGACATTGGTCTGGGCAAAGATTTTTTTGTGTAAGACCTCAAAAGCATAGGCAACAAAAAAGCAAAAATAAACATATGGGATTACATCAAGCTAAAAAGCTTCTGCACAGCAAAGGAAACAATCGACAAAGTGAAGAGACAACCCACAGAATGGGAGAAAATATCTGCAAACTATCCATCTGACAGAAGATTAATAACCAGAATACATGAAGAGATCAAATAATTCAACAGAAAAAAAAAAGAAATAATCCAATTTAAAGATGGGCAAAAGGTCTGGAGACATTTCTCAAAAGATAACATACAAATGGCCAACAGGCATATGAAAAATGTTCAATATTACTAATCACCAGAGAAATGCAAATCAAAACAATGAGGTATCATTTCACCCCAGTAAGAATGGCTTTTATCCAAAAGACAGGCAATAATGGATGCTGGTGAGGATGTGGAGAATGGAGAACCCTTGTACACTGTTGGTGGGAATGTAAATTAGTACAGCCACTATGGAAGACAGTATAGAGGTTCCTCAAAAAAACTAAAACTAGAACTACCGTATAATCCAGCAATTCCACTATTGGGTATATATCCAAAAGAAACAAAACCAATATATCAAAGAGATATCTGCACTCCCATGTTTACTGCAGCAGTATTCACAATAGCCAAGATATGGAATCAACCCTAAGTGCCCACCAATGGATTAATGGATAAAGAAAATGTGGCATATATACACAATGGAATATTATTCAGCCATGAAAAAGAATAAAATCCTGTCATTTGCAGCAACGTGGATGGAAATGGAGGTCATTATGTTATGTGAAATAAGCCAATCACAAAAAGACAAATACTGCAGGTTCTCAATCGCATATGGGAGCTAAAAAAGCGGATCTCATAAAGAACAGACTATTGGTTACCAGAGACTGGGAAGGGTAAGGGAGAGGGAGGAATGAAGACAGGTTGATTAAGGGGTACAAATATACAGTTAGATAGAAGACATAAGACATAAGACCTGGTGATTGATGGATCAATAGGGTGACTATAGTTAACACTGACAGACTGTACATCTCAAAGTAGCTAGAAGGAAACAATCCGAATGTTCCTACCATAAAGAAAGGATAAATGTTTCAGGTGATGGATGGATATCCCAATTATCTTGATTTAATTATATGAATGTATCAAATTATCATATGTACCTCCAAAATATGCATATTTTATGTATCAATATAAAAATTAAAATAGAAAAAAAAACACAAGAAACAAGTAACATACAAAGGAAAGCCCATCAGAATAACTCCAGATTTCTCAACTGAAACCCTACAAGCAAGAAGAGACTGGGGCCCCATTCTCACTCTTCTGAAACAGAGTAACGCCCAACCTAGAATCTTGTACCCTGCTAAACTAGGTTTCATATATGAAGGAGAAATAAAGATATTCTCAGATAAGCAAAGACTGAGAGAATTCAACAAGACAACACCAGCTCTCCAAGAAGTACTCAAAACAGAATTACACAAGGATCAGCACAATAAACACTCACGAATGTAAAGCCACTCAAAAGTTAAAGATCAAAGGCTAGATTCCACAATGGCTCAAGAGAGAAAACAAAGCAACAAAATGAAACCCAACAGAATGAACAGTAATTCACCCCACTTATCAGTTCTCTCAATAAATGTGAACAGCTTGAACTCCCCTCTCAAGAGACATAGGCTGGCCGAACGGATAAAAATAACAAGCCAAGCATCTCCAGGAAACGCATCTAACCTGCAAGGATGCATTTAGACTCAAGATAAAGGGGTGGAAATCAATATTTCAACCAAATGGAAGCCAAAAGAAAGCTGGTGTGGCAGTTTTGATCTCAGATAACTTAGTTTTTA